AGAAAATGCGACGATGGTGGTATGGGAAATAAGAAAAACAAGCTGATCCTCTTTATTGCTGTGGCTGCTAGTGGAATTCTCCTCATGGTATCATGTTGCTGCTTTTACGTTTACAGTTTCTTGAGGTGGCGTGAGAAAGTAAAAAGTGGGGCCGCTGGGGAGAAAAAGCCCAGCCCAGCTAGGGCTAGTTCAAAGAGCAGTGGAGGTCGTCGTAGTAGCGAAAATGGACTGAAGCTTATTATGTTCAATGACAAAATCACATTAGCAGAAACAATTGAAGCAACTAGGCAGTTTGATGAAGAGAATGTGCTGAGCAGAACCCGACATGGGGTAGTCTTTAAAGCATGTTACAATGATGGAATGGTGCTTGCAATACGCAGACTTCCAAACGGATCACTTGCTGAGAACATGTTCAGAAAAGAAGCGGAATCACTAGGCAGAGTGAAGCATCGAAATTTAACAGTTCTTCGTGGATACTATGCTGGTTCGCCTGACCTCAGACTCCTTGTCTATGATTACATGCCTAATGGAAACCTCGCTACATTACTCCAAGAAGCATCCCACCAAGATGGCCATGTCCTCAACTGGCCAATGCGTCACCTCATTGCACTTGGCATTGCTCGTGGTTTGTCTTTTCTCCATGCAGCCTCAATGGTACATGGCGATTTGAAGCCCCAAAACGTGCTTTTTGATGCAGATTTTGAGGCACATTTGTCGGATTTTGGTCTCGATAAGCTCACAGTGGCCACCGCAACTGAGCCCTCAACTTCAACATCAGTTGGCACATTAGGCTATGTATCCCCAGAATCAACTTTGACTGGTGAAGTCACAAAACAATCTGATGTCTATAGCTTTGGCATTGTATTGTTAGAACTTCTAACTGGAAAAAGGCCAGTAATGTTCACACAAGACGAAGATATAGTGAAATGGGTAAAGAGGCAATTGCAAAGAGGTCAAATTTCCGAGCTTCTAGAACCTGGGCTGCTTGAACTTGATCCCGAATCATCAGAATGGGAAGAATTCTTGCTGGGAATAAAAGTGGGTTTACTTTGCACAGCACCCGTCCCGTTGGATCGACCCACCATGGCTGATATCGTGTTCATGCTTGAAGGTTGTCGTGTCGGCCCCGATATTCCCTCATCCGCAGATCCCACCTCCCATCATTCTCCAGCATGACCCATCGACTAAAATTTGTAACCCAATTCCATTTACTTTTACATTATTTTTCTGCCTTTTCTTGTCAGGAAAAGATTGTTATCAGTAGCTAGTTTTGAAGTTTTAATTATTTTTGGAGTAAAATTTCATATTCTTGGAACTTTTTGCCGCTTTCAATTTCTTTGTGTGATACTGTCCGTGCCATCCGGGATAATGTTGG